GCCCACCGCTGCTGGTCTGCTGTTCGCGGGGCAAACAAGTCCGCGCATAAAATCCCGAAGCGCGCAATAAACAGCCTCCAAATGAGACAGGTAAAGATTTCATTTTGATAACCTAATTAAATACTTAAATATTATAATGCGTAACGATGATCATCGTCGTTTCCTTCTCTCCGCCACGCCGTACGAAACTAATAAACAAAAAAAAGAGAAACACGACGAAAAAAAGGCAATAAAAATAAAAACGATAAAAACAAGATGAAAATCTCTCCTGTTTCTGAATGTATCGACACTTATTTAAGTTTCTTCGGCTGTGTTTCCATGTTTTCAGTGTTTACATGTCTACCACGCACGCGTTTTAGGTTACACGTTACAATGTTATACTATATATCAGGCCAGGATTAATTTTTTACTTAAAAAATTCAAATTATATTAAATTTGAAAATTTTTGTGCTTTAAAATCACATTTTAGTTTTATTAAACAAAAATTTAATAATTTTAATGAATCAGACGGTTCTGTATCGGTGTTTCGATATTAAACACACAAATTGAAGCATTTTATACGCGCGGATGGTCCGATGCGTCCGATGCGCGTAATATAAAATTGGGCATTTCTGATTGGCGCCGATGTCCTGGCGCCGTCTCATCGTTCCACCGCGCCGCACCGCGGCTTCCATCGCTCCTCGCTCCTGCTCCTGCAAGGAGACGAAGAAGACGATGAAGCAAAAGTGGAAGAAGAAGAAGCAACTGCTGCTTATCTGCGGCGCGGATGGCGCCCTAGCGCTCTCGCTCGCGTCTCGCGTCGGAAATTTATCGAGTTACGTCATAATAAAATAATATCAAATTAATACGCGCGCGCGACCGGCGACAAGCGTCGCTTATCTGCCCACAAGATCTGATGTGAAGAATTTTTATTCTTCACGAAAAACCCCACGAAAACTATTTTTACTCGCTCCGAAAACTAATCAAAACTCCCGCACTCTGTAAACTTGCATACAATCAAGTGAATAATTTAAAAACTAAATTAATGTATTCTGTTGGATGTCATTTGGGTTGCATATATCACGCAATTTGCAAATTATTCTCCTGTCAGCCGCTTTTTGTGCTTTTTTATGCAGCCATAGAGTAAAAAACAAGTTTCAACCTCTGCGCGGTCGGTTGAATATGTTTTATTACGTTATTCCACGCCGTCGTGTGTTGTTATCAATCATCTATTAGGAAATATGGCAGCGCAGCGTGCGCAATACGCCATTTCTCACGCGCCATTCCCGGGAACTCGTACACGATACTACTCTTTTTCCATTCCGCTCGTTTTTTTTTTCTTTTCTTCCCCGTCACGAAACACCCCCACATCATGATTGCACACCCACATACCGCACACCCTCGTCGACAACACCTCCGCGCGCTCAAGGACTTCCACATATAATATACGGTCTAATATTAGAAAAATACGTTTCGTGTCGCGTCCGGGGGTCCGCCATCTTGCCGCACATATGAAGCGTAACTTCCGTCTATAGACGCATACAACAAATAGAAATAATAAATAAATACCGTACGTACACCTCAATAAGACGGAAGAATAAGTGACTGGCGTTAGAAGGGTAGGTAATAATCTATCTAATTTACCGCCCGAGCGTATATACTCCAATCTATTTTATTTACCGCCCCCCAGCGCTGCAGGATCCGCAGCCAGATGATGCGCCAATGGCCAACTAAATTGAACCCTTAAATCACGTCCGCTTAAGACGCATTACGGATTAAATCCTGCGCACGGTGTGCTCTCGTTTTGGGATCGAGGGGCACTCGGTAAGGAGAAGAAGAACACGAAGAAGAAGCGCCAACGTGCCGTACAGTGGTGCTGTGAAGGGTCCGGGTTGATTTATAGCCGTATTTGTCGTCCTGAATTGATGATTAATAACAAGCTTGATGCATATAACCGGCCGACATGAAATCATGCATAAACACTACATGATTTGATTTTGGTGGTTGGAAAAGTTTACAAGTTTCAAGATTTGAGCGAGTATGCAAATGTTCCAAGAGGTATGTAACCCAAGTTACTCAAATAAAGATTTTAGTCGCGGTTAAAGTATCTAAGTATCTATTTCTTCATAATACCTATTAATGAAAATGCAAATATTGCTTGAGGTATGCAACTCGAGTTACTTAAACGATGAATCCCAATGTACCTATACCGAACATAGGTATTATTTCATGATATGAATGAATTTATGTTTCATAATGAATGGAACACAGTGTCATTCACATCAATTGTTTATAGCGTGTTTTAATTCTCGACGGACACTCACAGAAAAAGAACATCCTATTAAATTAAAACTTGTCTAGCCTCTACATAGTTTCAAACCATTTAGTTAAAGAAATATATGGATGGGTTTAATTGTGAGCGACCGAAAGACCATCTCATTTAGTAATATTTTTCGAAATTATGAGTCGCGCGCGAGGACACACGAGACTCCGGAATGCCGGCGCTGGCGGGCGCTGGCGTCTCCCGTGTCTCCTCCAGATCCATAATGCGCGGCGCGCGCGTCCGACTCTCGTCCGTATCTCGACTTCCACATCTCGAGACTCCGCGCGCGCGAGACACCGAAATATGTCGAGGAGGTATGTGCGCATTCGCCGGGTGGATATGTGTGCCACTCGTGGAAATCAACATAATGCGACGATGAAAACGCACACACAATACAACTTGTTCCTAGATTTTACCCGCTGATTCGAAGAAATCGTCTAGTAAACGCACGAATAACTTTTCTTTCAATTCATATCCAAATCAACTATGTAACAGACAACGTTAAAAATATTGTTTTAAATACAAAATAATAAAAAAACGTTAAAATAAATTCTAATTCAATACGTATTGTATATTTGCTGTGTTTGGGGCAAAATGTACGTAGATTTTTTCCGCTTGAGAAGCAAGAAATTGTGGTGGACGATGTGCTGCACTGGGCAAACAATAACGCCACAAAAGAAGCACCACGAAGTCGCATAGAAGGTGAGTTATGGACACTGGGCCGCGCCGTTTTAAAATACACACACGACGCGCTCATACATATTGCATTCGATTCGGGCCTCGGGGACGCGAGATGCAAAGATGCGACTTTCGGCGTGGACGATGTCGCACAACATTTATGTTTTCAATGAGGATATAAACTTGCCAAGGATACGCCTGCGAAACGCTCGTTTAGTAATTGAGAATGAAAGGATAAAAAGCTTATAACTCATCATCCAACTGTTTAAAATCTTTTTAAACAAAACAAAACAAAAACCCAAAAACTAAACGAAATTAACTCCACGACGGATTATTATTAAATTTGCGTGCCATTGGGTAGTTTATCCTTGCAGTCCTTTGTGATTTTCAGTTACACATTCGCGGCATGCGCAGCTAAAAACCGAAACACCCGAATCGGCGACCAACAGCGCAAGCAAATGAAATCGTAAATTACACGTACACATTCATGTTATCTCTCCACGATGAGGCGGCGTGCGACTGCTGCCCCGGCTATAAATTATTTATGAGCAATTACATATTTATTGAGAAATCATTTGTATCGGTACGCGCCACGGTACGCCACGAGACGCGGTCAAGATCTGAATAAGCGCGCGCTCGGGACGCCACAAGCAGTAAATCATCTCGGGCGCGCGATGCCACAGAAAAGAAACAAAACACAGCAAACGAAAACCAAGTTGTTTATGATGTAAGTAATTGTGTGTCGTTTTTCTTTTCGTGCAGACGCGTAGGTTTTGGCTTAATTCGGGCGGATTCGAAATGTCATGTGAACCAAAAAGCTTAAAAATCAAAAACTACAGCAACAAATGTGCTGTGATAGATATACAGCAACAGAGATGACCGTAATAAATACTCGGTTTAATGAGTGGTGTTTTCAGTCGCCTCGGGGGCAGCCGGGGCAGGACGAACCACGCCTCCAATCGCTACTTCATAAATTTCCCCCATGCAACCCAACATACATGAATACAACACAGAATATACTTCAAAATATTCAAATATGTTGTAATACTATATCAGTCTATCTGCAATGTGTATCAATATCTACATTTTGACATTTTTATATTTTATAGGTTATGTTGCTTTCCTCTGACAAACGACGCTGGCCGTTTCGTGGGACTGTGTGTCGCGCTCAGCACAAAAACAGAGATAACAATTGACTTATCGGATGGCCGCGAATTTATTTCCTGCGCATTTGTCTCGCCCTCCCTGTTTTATAGCCAGCATTTGTTATTCTATCCAATGCAATGGCCAACGTAAACAACTTGCCGAGAGAGACCAATACGGGTATATTCACACACACACACACCAATCCAGTCCCTTAAGGTAAGCTAGGATGTGGTGGTTTGGGATGGAAAATCCAATGTCGCAAAACACTGCCAATGCTCACGCTTGAACGGTTACAATGCGAATAACTCGTGGAAATTGTGTACGATGCCAAAGTCATAGCTAGAACTCGTGAAGATGTTTATAGTCACGTTAACGAAACGAAATTCAAACATACTTACTATTAACTCATCGAAATAAATTGGATTATGTAGTAATATTACACGGGATGATTGCACAATATAATTGTACATCTGCTGATTCAATATCCGGTTATGGCGACCCAACTATACCTTTCATATTGTGTTTTGTGTTGTGTTTTATGCACTCAGCTGATCGTTCGTACTGATTACAATCGTAGACGATTCGTTTCGCGCAAACTTGATATCGTATAATATCTAAACACAGCCGAACGGGTTTTGTTGTTGTTCCACACTAACACACACACATATTTGGTTGCCTATATCGCAAGATATCACCTCATACACACGCACAAAAAAATAATCAGCAGATTCCACGTTTGAGTTACAAACGCAAGCAAAATGTGATCAATGTGAGTTTGGAATTAGTAGACAATATTTTCAAAGAATATACATCTATGAATAACTTACAAGCGAGTTTTATATGTTTTAGTATTTTTATGCGTCGCTGGACTCACCTTTAGCCCTTTCTTGGTCGCGCTGGTCTTTTTGGAGGTTCTGTTCGCAGCGATCACGCACGAGATCGTCGTTTCTTCTTTCTCACGCGCTTTTCGTTATTAATGAGGCACACAGGTAACAACTCGCCTCATTTTTAATCATAAAAACCCACAGCCATAACTTATTTATCATCGTAATTTGTGAGGCGCACGCTTCGAATTCCACGCGGGACGCGACTGACTGAGAACGCGAACGCGGGCGAGTGACGCTAACATGTTGCAAAATTGCACACGTGCAGGTCTACCAACCTAACTACTCCCAAAAAATGCAACATAACTAAACACTAACACATAAAAATATACAAGTAAAAGACGTAAACAATTGTTTTGTGTAATGTTTTATACATCAGTCAACTTTATTATCGTCCGCATTCAATATCCGTTCTGCATCTCAATAAAATTAAATTTTACAATAAACTTCCGCGCGATATATCATTTCAAATATATTTATTAAATGTACAGAGATCCCTGAAGAGATATTTAAGTGTTTTTTTCTTAAGTTTTCGAGCGTGTTCTTGTTTATTATACATTTTTCTTCCATCCAGCCGAGTTAACACACGCATTTTTATGCAAGCTGAAAAAAATGCGTGGGTTACACTTCAGCGAAAACGTGATTCACTTATTCCTACAATATTTACGATTTATATACAAGATATTTACATGTTTCACGCAAGTGCATCAGCATAAAAACTTTAGAAACATTTAATCACATCAGTAAAGATCAAATGTTTCTAAATTTTCGTGTCACATAGTTTAGGTTTAGTTTCTTCTTCAGTTAAATTGCACAATTGAATAAAAAGTCAAGTCCAGTCCTTCACTTACAAATTATAACTAACTATAATACATAAATAAAGCGCTATGTACAATATTTTCATTAAATTAAATTACGTTTAGTTTATCATATCACTTATTTTTGTTGTTGGTGGTTTTAGTACGCGGTGGCGGCGCCGCCGTGATGATGCAGATGTCCAAAGGCGCTTAAACCTCCTAAAGGATCAGTGGTGGGTGGTGTAGGTTGGCAGGACATGTACCACTCGCTGATGGCGGTCGTGCCCGGCACGTGTGTTGTCACAGGTTGCGCATGCGTCGGAATGCTCACGTGCGGACTAGCCGCCACCGAGATGCTGCCCGCTGACGACGAGTTGGACTCCTCACCGTCGCTATCATAGTGTTGTGGTGATCTTCCGGAACATCCATGCACCTTCATATGTTTACGCAACGATGATGGATGAGTGTAGGATTTGTCACAGCCGGCAACACGACAATTGTACGGTTTATCAGAGGTGTGAACGTGCGAATGCTTCTTGCGATCGCTGGAATTCGCGAAGCGTCGATCACAACCTTCGTATTCACATTTAAATGGTTTTTCACCTGAAACAAGAAAAATAATTTTAAAATAATGATTTTACAATGAAATATTTTATGCATACAAAATACGACAACGAATTTCTGGTTAATTTTTCACCTAACACGTGTAAAACATGAGTCTACGTCTATAAAATAAAAGAATCCCACCGCTGACAGCCAGTCTACTACCAGTCGTTAGTCGCTTGATCGCCGGTTGTTAATTTCCAGATGAAAGACGCGTCACGTCAGGTAGAAACACGCATCAAATGGTTATGCTCATGTTCGTGTAAAGAACAAGAAAACCCCGAGACGCTCAGCCACGCTAAGGACTTAACGAGCGAGTAAAATATGAACGTCGTGCGCGTATAAACGTCACAATCGAAAAATAGTTACCATTTTATATGCGCCTCCAAGTTGAACAAGTCTACAAAAGTTCCCAAATTTCGGGAACCCGAAATTTTATTAGAAAGAAAAGTCAACGATGCGTAAACTTTGCCCGGAGAGGAAAAAATTTGGTTCACCGCAATTCAATGCGCGCTCGAATGAAGAATAAGAATAAAATGGTGGTGGTCGAAACGGATGTCATGCATAAATATTTTTAGAAAAACACCAACATTACTTATTTGGTTTATATAGATACTTCTAATGTACGAGAATATTTCGGGAGGAATGCGCAATGTGAAAAATGTTTAAAATGTTCGTTTCAGTTGCGCGCCATTGTTGTATCGACATTTCACTAAGAAAACAATGCATTGTTTCACTCACAACTGCGTTGTGTAACGTGCAATTCATTGCTTTGTTGAAATTCTCAAAATTTTCAAAGGTCACGAACTTAAAATGTGTTGTTGGCGAGGTTTAGCTGAGTTCACAACTCGATGGCGATCAATCAAAGAGTATTTATTGGCAATAACATGTGAACACACACGCACAGATTTCAACCGGAAGAAATGCGTGTGTTTAGTTAGCGTGAGTGTGAAAAACGAGCAAGAACAACACCGAAAGCCGAGCGAAAAGCGCATCCCGGTGCAGCAGCAATCGCACTCGTTGCGGAGGGTTTCTGGATTTCGTTGCCGAGAGCCGCACACTCTGGCGCACCAACCCCATTATAATATCATGACAAATGACTATCGGGACGTTCGAATATAATGGAAGACGTATGGGAATAATGAGCCCATTGTGAATCGGGCACACGTTAAATTGATGGAGCTTATGATATTACATTGGACGCACCTAACCTACAAAACGCTCTCCAGGCTGCAGAAGCACGAGTGTGGAAGTCAGCAAAATAAATAAATAAATAAATATATCTATGAGTGTTTGAATGTGCACGACGTGGAAAAATTGTGCACACAAAATAAAAAATAAAGAATAAAATGAAATTACGTTCGTATTGATTTCAAAATAGAAAAAAATGAAATCAAACAAATAGTGCTTGAATGATGTGACAATATCTTTATATTCTTTGCACAAAAAACAAAATTATTCATATTTTATACAAGATGAAGCAATAAATCACTGTCTAGACAAAAAATAATAGATTTTTTGTTAATAGTTTGTAAATTATTTGAGAAAAAATAATTAATTTGCCTTTCAGAAGTGAAAAATGACCTGTTTTACTGCTCTCACCCTGTATAAATTGAGAAGACACAATATCTCCAGCTCCTCCAGTTCCCCACACACACTTTTGCACAAAAGGTAAAAACGTGAAAGAGACTTGGCTAGTAGAGTTCTGAATATACGTACGATGGTGACAAAAGGACCAAAAATCCTCCGGACCGTGTTGTGTGTAAACAAATAAAACTTGTCACGGCCATAAAAGTTGATAAATTGCGCCTTTAAAATGTGATACGCTTTCAGGCGCTTTCTGCGCTCGCGCCACCGGCCGAATATGGCAAACACTCATCTTCAGCATTCACAAATTGAATGCAATGTAAATAAAAACTCAACTCGAGAATATTTTCATTAAATATCAACCACCAGCCGAGAAAACCAGAAAAATCTTTGCACTTTAATAAGTTTTATTTTTTTGTTTATTAATTAACACTCGACAAAAGTTGTTTAGTCGTTAAACTATAAACTCAAACTCTACTCCTAAGCTGATCTCGTTTCCAACCGAGTAATCCAGATATATTGCACGCGGGTCTCAATTCATTCCGTGAAGCTCTTTCGACGGCGTTTATTATCTAACTACTAATAGCCCAGATGATACAGTCGGCGCGCACCGAACGAGCGGAGATAAATGACACGAGGAAATGAAACAAACGAGCGCGCACCTTTCCACCTTGTGTGCGTATTATATCGATCGACGCGGGGCGCTTTCCTTCTTTTCTTCAACGAATCGAGGAAAACGAAGCACACCACACGGCTGCAATGTCATTAACAACACATGTGTGCACCTATATCCACGCGGCCATTTTGTGGCTTTGGTTTGAGGTTATGAAAAACACCACATGACCATATGCACACTCCAACATTGTGCGTGAAATCGAAGCGGAACACAAAGAATACACATGTTTTTATTTTTCCATCCGCGGTTGTTATACTTAGCCCCGCTGTGTTTTACATTAGCGCGACATTGTGCGGCGGTATTTCTCGATTACCGCTCGCGCGCCATTTTGATTTCGATTCGTGAGAATCAAATTCGATGCTTTACATGCCCCGTAAATGATGTGTGTGCATGCAATTACTGTAATGATATTGTAGCGCGCGCACTTATGATGATAACGAACAAATCGGCGCGTCGATGGGAATGAGAATACGCGCGCAAGGATGCGAGTTATTGCGTTCGTAATGGCGGCGTTTGTTCCACGCGGCGGGTGGGGCCCGGGAGAAGATAAACGCAATTACTGCGCGCCGTGACTCAAGCTTCAAACTCATGCGCAAGCTCGTGTCAGCGACAGAGCGTCGCGCGTTGTCATTGCGTGGAGGACTAATTATGGACGTGAATAATTAGTGCCTTGATGGAACAACCAACATCAAACACGCAAATTTAACTCAACATTTTACAGAAATCTGTATTACCACACAACTAATTCAGACAATCAAAAAATAAATGTTTTTTTGGTTGTTTTTGAAAGGAAATGAAACATTTTGAAAGCTTTTGTTACTTTTGTTACATTTGATTGCTTTGCAACCTAACCTATAACTTAATACGTGTGTTTCCTGTTACAGATCCGTTTCACTTTGTTAAATTTGATCGTGGTTTTTGTATTTATCGAGATCGCTGAACTTTTGCGGCGAGGATTTTTTTGTTAGCAGCCTATAATTGGCATGGTGCTTCCTTTTTGGTAAGATATTCAACGGAGAGTAACGTGATACGTTTGGGAACTCTGTGGTTGGTGGGAGGTGCCCAAACAAAAAAGATATCATAACCTAAAAAACAGTTGCCTATCTTTTTTCTCTTAAATTTAAATCAACGTATATTTTTTGTTGTGCGAGATAATATGACATTTAAATTTATAGAGTTGACAAAATTTAGTGAATTTACCATCCGGGCATTGTGCCTGTGCGAGATATTAAGCTGTCTTCTCTTCATTGCAGTTCGGCAGTTGGCATAGAGGCGAAGAGGATTAAACTCTCATAATCGCTTTACGCACGGCTCGCGCATTAGGGGCGCACAAAAGGGTGGTTTACAGTTTACAGTTTAGTTTAGTTTGATAAAACGCGACGCTCCACATTCGTTCAGAATTCAAGAGATACCTCGACCGCGCCTCATCTCATTGGTTACAGTCGACAATGCAACCCCCGAATGCGCCCTCGACGCGTTGACGGACAGATGTTGGCCTCGATTAAGACGTAGGTATGAATTTATATCTGGTTGATGGGGCGAACTAGCGCAAATGGGGCAAGCTGGTATTTTTTCATGGTGATATCATGTCACAATAATACGTAATAGGGGAAAGTAGCCATATTTGGACCATTTTTATATTTTTCGATTTATAGAGCCACATATAAACTGTCAATAAAAATTAAGTAGCGGAAAAGTAACTCACAAGGCTTACCAACAAAATGATATTCTTGATTTAAGTAAATATTATATTTATACCCCTCAAATTTCAATTTAAAAAAATTGTGTTTTTGGTCCAAATTAAGAAACCGGTTTCCTAAATTGGACCGCGCGGTTTCCTAAATTGGATCATGCTTTTTTAACGGCAATTGACACAATAGTAAATTTTAGTTTTAGCAGAAACACAAGCACATTTTGTATAAACCAAAGTGCGGCATTTCATACACTGCATCATTTCGAAGATTTGTGCTCGTCCACAAGCTTTTCTAAGAGATAAAAAAAATGATATACGTTTTCCCTGTTAAAACCCGGTCCCTGTCTTCGGTCCAACTTGGGCAACTTGAAGAATTTTTATTTAATGATCAACGACAATCTTAATATAACATAACCTCTCCAAATTAATACTATAAATTATAGATAAATAAATAATCTTTCTGATGATATAATTATAATCGTGAAATCTAACGTTTAAACAGCTTGACAGCTTATGCACTTACGTCGCTATAATAGATTTGATAATCAAGGATACAAAAAGTTGTTGTCACGACAAAAGCACGCGGCAAGTTTTAACCCAAATAGTTGCATCAATTGTTTATAAATACGAGTAAAACAAGGGGCCTGTCTATTTTTGCAAAAACATCAACAGTCCGCGGATATCGTGGTGGTCCAACTTAGGCGCTGGTCCAACTTAGGCTACCTTCCCCTATAGTCATTGTTGATTCATGACATGATATCGCACAGTAGGACGGCCATTTTGAATAAAAAAAACGTAATCTGAACATGTGCAAACAAATAGATATCTAATCTCTTCACAAAAAATTAAAACTAAAAAGAAACAATTTAATTTTTTGTTTTTTAATTTTTTTTAAATTTTTTGATGGCTACCTTGTTAAATTCCAGATTCGAGCAAGATCGGAGCCCTGAGGTAGCAGTATCAATATCAAATTTCATGTAAAACCACACCACGAGCACAAAACCCTCGACGTTGAAATAAATTCCGTAGTTTGTCGCAAGTATTGCATATCTTGCGCGCGAGCCGCGACAAAATGTGTTCCGTGGCGCCTTGCCCCGCCGGTTAATTAATAAAGAACGCATGATTGCTATAAGCCCGTCGCTCGCCGCCGCGCCGAACCTCGGAAGATGGGAAACAACAGGAGCAGATGCTAGTCATAATTGTCTCTACATCCACCACCACCACTAACGCCATTATAATGTATGTGTATGTGTGCGTGTTTGTGTTTTACTGACGTTCGTTTAACGTGCGTTTGTGCCCATCCAGTGTGCGTAAGACGGGGGACGCCGTGTGCGCCATTTTGTCTGCTGGCGGCGACAACCCCAAAAGGGGAGCAGAGCGTATATACGACGGCGTGTACTAAGCGAACGCGAACACAAACACAATCAACCACTACGTACACACACGCCGCGTCCGAGAGTCTAAGGGCAGTAGTCGTGGAGTCCTTCGCGATCGATGCCACCCAAGCTTAACGACCAGGACCGGGACTACCGGCATCATACAATTACAATTTACAATCACAACATTGTAAATTTAAATCATTTTAAAGACATTTTTAGTGAGTTTAAAGAAGAAAACGATTGATAGTTTAGTTGTTGTGGAGAAAAAGCAGTGTGACGAGTTAATACCGATCGGATTACAAAGTAAATAACCCGAAAATGGCTGAGTGACGCACCCTCGCCGAAAATGAGCGCGCGAGAGACTTCGAAATGACTTTCGGCTGCCTACTCTACGCCCGCCATCAGGAATTGATTGACAGAATGACGGGATGACACGTTTTCCAAAATATACATCGGCGTACAACCAAAAATTCGATCTGCAATCAGGCCTACATAAACAAAAAACAATCGGCGAACATGTCAACTGTCAGAAACAACTTCTAATTAGTGTGTTATCATAACACAAGCGAAAATCTACCGATGGAGGAAAGATAAAATTACCTAAACTTAAGATAGAATCTTAAGCGTATTAAATCGTAATTTTGCAGTTTGAGATTTGCGGTTATCACAAATAGATCTACGACTGAACACACCACCGGGTTGAACAAACGCGTCAAAAGCCGAGTTTACAATCCCGGCAGACGGATTTAAATCAGCTAAAGCCTCTTGCCATGCGCTTGGAATAGAATAATCCGAAATCTTGAAAACTTCAAAAAGTTCAACAACCACTACCGAAATCTATTGATTTCCAGCGTTACCTGAAGCCTACTCTCCTCACCCGTATATAAATATTTGTTACTTTCCACTTCAGTCTTTTCTCTTCTTTTTCCAATACTCATTCAACATTTGCTACTTTACTATTTTATATACTATATTAAGCTACTTCAGCAGCATCCGAGGGACGTGTTGTTGTTTTGTTTATTTCGTGTAAGAAAGCACGGATTTGCGATTTGAATGCGGTGCAACATAATGAAATAAAATATGGCAACAGTGTGTATGTGCGTGAGCGGGCGAAAAAAAAAATCTGTGATGAATGCCTAGTGTGGTATAGTGTGCTCCACAACATAATCTGAATAATACACTCATTATGCGAGCGTTCCGTAGCGGAAATAAAGCGACTGTGAAAAAGTGTGCGCCGCTCAAGTACCCGCCAACCGACCGACTGCCAAAGAGTATGAAAGTCTTTTGTGCTGTGCACTTTTCAACGTTCTCTCGAGTCTCTTGCGTATTGAATTGAATCGAGTACACATCAAAAGTGCACCAGTGTAAAATAATCTACAATAAATTAATCAGTAATTTATTGATTCGCGAATCTTGATTGAATTTTATTGAATACTGCCATCTATAGGGTATTAAGATAAATAATTAACCTCTAAATGTCAATATTTTGACGTTTCTTAACGTATTTTAATATAGAACGCAGTCATTTCGCAACCACCGCCTTTATTTCGTATTTTCACGCATTTAAACACTCATTGCGTGCTTGACAATCTGCGGTGCGCACTCGAACGCTTTTCATAAAGCCGGCGGTACTTACAATGCCAGTTCAATGGTGGTGTGTGCTCTCACTGCCCTCCCTTGACAATGCGGCATGTGTTGGCGAAATATTTATTCATGATTAGCCCCTCGAGGGGTTTCACACCGTGTTGTATAACATGCGCTCCCTAGACAACGTTTAAAATACTGTACTCTCCACGACGTGCTAAATGCGCACCCTCTGGCAAACCGGATAACAAAGTTGGCAGCGTTTTTTGGAAGCAAAAGTTCAAGTGTTGTGCGTTGCGTAACGAACCGATTAAAGACGAAGCTTACATAAGCAACAATGGCGCAGTAATGATTTTAGATTGTGGTTGGTAGGTATATTTAATCAATCGATAACTAACTACGAGAACGAGTTGCTGCGCGGGGTGAGGATCCAATTTGGGAAACAGATCAATTTGTCATGGCGCGTCTTGTAATTTATTTCGTGTGTGTAAACAAGAAAAGGTCCAAAATCGAAGCATAAAGTAGCCAATTAGACGCTGGCTTGCTGCCTCTTTTCACGCGATCGAAAAACAAAGAGAGGCAGGCGCGCAGAGAGCGATATAATTCGAAAAGGGCCCCGGAGCTATTTACCACTGTCTTATATAAATTAATTGGTCGATTTGGGCGTTCCACGGGTGTAATATTTCAGCGCCGGCTCGTCGAGGGAAGCCCCGCGGTTCGCAGTAAACGTCGGCCATCGACTGGCCACCGGCCACCACCGAAATGAGAAGTCATAATTTCGTTGTGCAGCGCACACGCACGCACTCACTACTCACTACCCTCGGATGTACAGGTTGTGCTAACGTTTTGCGCCCAGAGGCTGTGTGTCGTTAAATGGTAGCTTAATAAAACAATGAAATGAGTGTTTAACAAGATTTTCATTTGATGGTACCTTAAATATAGTGTTTCACCGGTTAAAACCACAAAAATTCCATGTTTTTCTTATAATTTTTTTAAAATTTTTGCTAAAATACTATTTTATGATTTGAAATAAAATTATTCGCAGAAATATTCAAATATATTTTCAAATAAAATTAATAAAAACTGAAATTATAAGTTGTTTTCTATTTTGTTTCATTATTTTTTTGTATATTAAAATAAAGAAACTAAATTTCTTTTCGAAAAAATATGTAGATTTTTATCATTCCTATTCCAATAAAATTAGACCACTCAAACCTAAGATACCATCAAAATAAAAACCGGGATTTGTTGTCTCTCATATTTCCTCAAATGATTAAAATTCTTTATGTGTGTTTAACGCCTCTCATTCGAATAAATAATTCTTCTAGGAACCCTTCAAAAAATCATAAAAACTAATGTTTAACTTATTCTCTTGTGCTTTTCCACTGCGACCCGTGCATACATCAACTTTTATGCGCTTACATTTTTTAGAAAGATATTACTCATCTACTAGTTTCTATTTCTATTTGTGTGACTTTGAAAGTAACGTTTTTTTTTGGGATAAACTGACCCACCACGGCCTAGATGTGTCCAAAGTCACGGAATTGCATCACAAATCACTTCTTCTCTCTCACCAATACGGACACACAGACAACAGTTTGCTTCGAAAGTCGTATAAATATAAATAAAAATAGTTGTTCCAGGTATTTCGGACAATAGGCTTAAGTTGGAGTCTTCTACCGAAACGCATCGAAAAGAGGCAAAACGTTTGGAGTTTTGGAAGAATGCACGGCTACTACGGTCCGAGGTGGTTTACGACTTGACTTTTCAAGACAATTTTAAAGACAATATTCAGCAACCGCAAGAATGCTGCACGCCAAGAATTTGGCGAATTTCTAGATTTCAGCATGTGATAGCATAACATAACACCAACAACATAATATAGATGAGATTTGAGGTTAAGCGCTTGCCGTCGGATGACATTACATTGTCTTTTTCGCTGTCAGCGTCCGTCGGAAAAGGGTTTACATGATAAAAATCAAAAAACTTACCGGTATGAGTTCGTTTGTGAATTTTCAGGTTCTCGCTGCGCGCAAACACCTTTCCGCATCCGGGGAATGGACACGGAAATGGTTTCTCTCCGGTGTGCACTCTGATGTGGTTTACCAGCTTGTACTTCGCCTTGAAGGGTCGTCCATTACGCATACAATTCTGCCAAAAACATGCATGCGTAGTACATTCGGGACCTCCGACGTGTTCCACCGTCAGATGTGTGACAATCTCATGCATGCTGGTGAAGTGTTTTCCGCAGATTTTCCTCGGCGGCGGTTGATCAGGGTCCACCCACATACACTGCATCTCTTGCTTGATGGGTTGACGCATGTAGCGAAAGAAGGCGCCGTGTACATTGCCAGGATGATGTGGCATGTGAGGCATATGAGGGTTGAGGTACTGTGCGGCATGATTAGGTTGTGTTGCGGCGTGGTAGGCGGCCGCATGATGATCGGCCGTTCGGGAATACAACATTTGATGATGTGGTGCTAGGTGTTGATGATGGGAGGCGATATCGGTATGATGGTGGAACAGAACTGGATCAGTAGGTGCTGTCTGTCCCGTAGGGAAGTCATGGTGATCCCGTCGGAGTAAAAAATCACGCGCCGCATACCCAGCATGGGGATTCAAATGACCCATATGTCCATAGTTGGGTTGGAAGTGATGGTTCTGCGCCTCGGGCGGTGTCATAGCCGCCGCCGGGTTTTGATGATGCGGTGATGGTATACCGGTACTACCCGCTTGATGACCAGGACTCATCTTGATACCATACCCGCCAAGATGGTGGTGATGGCCACCATCTAGAAACGCAGTGTTCATCATTGCGAAGCCGCGCAGTACACACTTCTTTGTATAAACAAATCACTATACCGCAAAAACTAAATAAAATTTATTTTACAAAATCAATTCACACACTGATTAGAAACCAACAACACCGCGAATTTGTCCGTCGCGGCAGCACTTCACTGCGCCAAGGTGCGAGCGCTACTAGAGTGTCTATGTCTCAAGACGCCGTTCGGGGGTCTCAATTTTCAAACGATTTTCTAACGCTGAGGTTGGCGTTCACGCTAGGCGCGCTGTGATGACCTTTCTAACCGACGAGCACAGCTTGACTGAGAAGACCCGGTGCGCCACGCAGGGGCTCACAGAACGGCGCCGGGGCACCGAGGAATCGGATTGGTTGGAAGCGGGGACCCCTGCTATTGGAGCGTGACCGGAGAACAGGAAACATTGGCTCTCCCGTTGGCGCTGCCGGCACCAATCGCGCCGGGAGGAGCGGTCCAACCGTGCGCGTAACCCATTTTACACTACTTGTTGATTTCAGAAATTACATCATTTGGAGAATTCAATTTCTGGAATTTTAAAGTTTCTAATCGGAAACAGCAAAATTGGACCCATGGTATCATATTAGGTCCTGATCTGTTTTTTGAAGAATAGGAAAAATTGGGACCATTAAATTTTTGTAATTCAGACCATTAATTTTTGTAATTCAGAATTTTCTCCTCTACTCTCTATGTTTCTTGATTTTTGGAAGATATTATATTGAAAATTGCTTTGAAACAATTTGTTTAAACTCTTTGTTGCTGGATCCTGCATGGAATCTTCCTAATCTAAGTTTTAGTCTTTCTGATTCAAACAATCATTATTATTATGAAATATCTTCAAAAATTGCAACGTCTAAATTACCTCCAACCCTTGAATTCCCAAAATTTTCAGTTTGGTCTAATTTTACGGCATAATCTCATAAACCAACAGTTTATAAAGACCTTAAAAGACCATTAACCACAATTTGGAATTCCTACTTCGTCCAAATTTATTACCCCATATTAAGATTTGAATAGAATTCGTTTTAAAAATGTAGAAAAATAATAGGATTAAAAGGATTACCTGGTACCGTTTCCAATGTAGGCTCCTCCAAGTTATAATCTGGTTGCTCTGGTATCATCACGGAAACCTTTTCTAATCACGTTAATACTGCACCTGGAACGGAAAAAACAACACTTAGTCTTATAACAAGAAACACTTACCTAAATACTTAAGCCCCATAAATGTGCAGTTGTAGGTACCCAAATATTAACGCAGATTTTTGAAAATAAAATTAATGATAACCTAGTCAAAAATAAATAAAATTACTCATAACCATTTGCTTTCTTTGCATTCGCGCAGGTTCTGAAACTTGTGGTGTGTGTGCAGAGAGTGTAATTTAATAAGACCGGCTTTCGATATTTTTCACCTGACAGTCCGTCGACTAAGATTAATCACGCAATTTCCTGAGAGCCATTACGGGACCCGCCCGGCCCGATTCGGACCATTTCGTACTCGCTCACATTTCCACCCGGCGTGCTATTTTTTATTTTATACTCGTTTTTATTTTTATTTTATTTGCGCAATTTCGCGTACTATAAAGCTTCAAATTTTATTTATTTTACAATTGATGTAATGTAATTGTATAGAAATATGGGTGGTGGAAGAAGAATCAAATGGCTGACGCCCTTACTCCACAATAATTAGGAATGGTGACAGTGTAGCGTGCGTGATGCATTTCATACACATTCGTCACACACCCGACGACAAATAATGACATGTAAACAACAAGTGACGAGCGTCGCTCCATCGAATTCTAAGAGAGGGTGCTGTGTATCATCACATGAACAAAGTATTGTATTTACCTATAATGTAAACTTGAATTATTATTGCTATTAAACCACCATAACATAATATTAAATATTAAAGATTTTACTAAAAATATTTTATATCGCAAATTGCATTAACCCACAATTAACAAAATAAAGGGATAAAGGACACATTTGTAATAATGTTGACCACCACTGTGCATCACACTGTGCGCCCTCGGTGCACCCAAGTACAACTAAGTGAAATGCGCATTTGTGGCACAGAATGCGATTAAGAACGCGGTATATCGCCGCGAGCATCGAACAGCGGGGGCGAGAGTGCTACTAACAATCTACGTTCTGCTCAGAGAGCCTAATGCACTTTTGTTCCGGGCGAATTTCATCACAAACAACAGTAAATTCAACAGTACAAAACTTACCCTTGCTATAGATATCATCCACAGCACTCATCGCAACACAATGCTGCACTAAATTCACTTAACAGCACAAATGAACAACATATCATTCAAAAGCAGATATTTTGAGGTTAAATATGACAAGTTTTGGCTCACGTCTAGGTTGAAACGTGGGTATAGCGTAAAAATCATTATAGGCAACCAAATATCAACGTGAAAACAACCAGGTTGCCGTTTTTTATTAGCTCATATAGTACTAAGGGGCATTATAGATGGCAGCACCAGAAATACCTATAGTTAATTTTGACTTATTTTCATAAAAATATTAAAATTATTCATTTATAATACAAAAATTAATCTATCTTCGAGAGATATAGGTACTAGTAGGTATTATTATCAAAATAACCAAAATAATAATACAACACTTAATTCCGAGCTGAATTTCGTCGAGGTGTTGAATTGATGCGGCGTGTTGAAAGTGTGCGCGATGCAATTACGGTTGCATCAAAAAAGTCAGCGTGAGTAAGCGATCCGCGCGCGAGATGAACTCCGCCGGACGCACAAAATGACTTTAATTAAGTGTAAGTAATACAATGGCCGGGCGGCTACCTCAAAAGCCGGCGGATTCATTTCACTCGGCGTCGGCACTCTACGAATCGAATTCGAAATCAAGAAATCAAAAAGACGACGACGACAAATAAAGAAAAGAAAAATACTACGTGCGCGCCGGCACCAGTTGAACCAGCTTCAAGTTAATCCGAATTCGATTCGTTTTTGTTTCGGTTTCGTAAGGCAATTTCGGTGAAACAAGATGGCAGCCATCTTCGAGATGCAATGTTTTCGTATAGAAATGTTAATCGTAACAATGGCGCAACGTCAGAAATCAATATTTATATTTTATGTAAATCACGTTGCGTCCTTGCTCAATATATCTTCTTTCTAAGGTTGAAAAAGCGATGCATTTCACTGCGCTCGCTGTGCGGTGATGTACGGCAATAGCATTAAGTGCGGAGACACCTTGCCCACCTTATTTTATCTCCGGCAGGCGTTTTTGGTACTCCTCTACGGACTATTGTGCGCCTTCTCGGTATGCGACAGCAATAAATCAAACATTTAGAGAAACTGTACCAGCATATATTTCATAATATTCCAACAAGCAAACAACACTTAAATAACTCTTACGTGAACAGACAAAAATGGTAAAAAGTATTTTTTAAACGTTTTTGAAGACTAAAACTACATTTACTGTAGTCTAGTAAGTATAGGCAACTCTTTATACGCATGAAATATTTTTATATTTCTTAGAAATTGACATAAATTTCCAATTCAAATGTTTCTGATAATTAATATTCAAAACTCTATGTTTACAATCATTATTCTTCGTTTGTTAGTTTCTTTGCTTCTTTGTTTTTCGTGGTTTCTCCATGCGTGTTTTGGGTTGCGTGTTCGAAAACCCCGAACCGAAGTTTTCCGTTTGTAAAACTCGACGGGGATTCGTCCAGTGGGTTCCTTCTAATCGTCTTGGTTCGAATTAAACGAATCATCATCGAACGAATGCAACCGACCGTGACTATAACCTCAAATATAAAATTTCTTTGAGTGTTTTTTTTCTCTTCAACTTGTTTTAATGTAAATTAATTACCTGAGCAATGCAAACATGCACGTTTGGTTGCAGACAAATAAAACAAACAGAAAACTATTTATGAATTTATGCGTGGTGGCAGAGAAGATAGAGAAGAGGAGGTTGAAAGCTTAAAGGTCTTCGGGGTCGCGATGCCACTATTTCATTTCGTCTTCGCCTTTTTTCGACGCGTTTACGAGCGCATATGCTAATTGAGTCGAACGTATTTTACGGCCGACGAAAAACACACATTGATTAATAATTGCCTGGCGTATGGGCACTGCTCACTGCTGGGTACTTTTCGGCAAACACGAACTGTGTTGGCACCCAAAGTTAGAAACAAACAAACAAGCCAACAAAACAAGAAAGCTGTCAGGAAAGTTATAAATTGTAAAAAATGTTAAAATTTATATTCACTCAAACACGCAATTCTATTTAATTTACGCCAAATATTAATTATTTGTTTACATTTTCAAATACATTTTTAGAATTTTTATTCGTGGGTAATTAATAGCGTCCACTCGAACATGATTTTCTCTTCTCGACGGCGTCGCTCGGATTTTATACGACCGCATAGACAAAACAGTCACGGCGCATAAATAAGGCCGAAATGACGCGCATTAGAAATGTAATTCGGGATTATGAATGTTTCGATTATGCTAATCAGGCAGCGAGTTACGGCGCGGGCCAGCGCCACAACACGCGCGATAAATATTAGAAAAATGACGCGGACATCTTCCACAGCCTCCAGAGAGTCAACTTAAAGAATTAAGACTGCTGAACGACCATAGCACCATGATACACGTATCCACCAATAATAATATAAAAATGTTTACATTTTTTTTTAATTTTAAGTTAAAATAAAAGAGTAAAACATGAAAATAATAAAAATTAGTTTATTTTAAGTGTTTTGGGAGCTATATTAAAAGATTTCGTTATGATAACAGTAAATAAAAAGTTTTATTCGTTTGTGATTCTGTGAAATGTTGAATCATACGTTTGATGTGCGTGTTTTTCAGTAAAAATATAAAATAAATAAAATAAACTAACAATAGACTACTTGAAAGTCTATAAATTCTCAGAGATATTAATAATTATTTTACGCTTCACATATTTCAATAATATACTAAATGTTTTCAATAATTTCAATATTTTCTACTGTACCTATTTTAAGCAAATAAATTCAATATCTCAACACTCAGTATAAATTATGTTAATACTGAGGTCCAAGAAATTAAAAAATAAAATTCTGTTAGATCTCTTCTTGCTGATAAGATTAGCGATCCGTGTTTGATGTCTCTGCTCGTCGCCGTGGTCCTTTTGCGGCCCGGAGCCGCAAAGCACCCACCCTTGTCCCAAAAAATCATGATCGTGATCGTGCGGGTAGGTATAGACGCTTTACGATTGTAAAACTGTAAAACATTATTAGCATCGTGGTTGGACATTAATTTTACGAAACTTTAATGTTTTGTTCTAACGACTTCTAACGACCCTCGCAAGATAGTAGAGGCTGCGTGAGGTTAGGGTGACTTTGACATTTCGCCGACGACATGATACTTGCGGCTGATGGTTGTTTTTAGGGTTTTATCAATGCGACGGATCGTGATTTTAAGAATGGTAAATTTATTGACTCAAATTGAATATAGAATGATGATTGAATGACAATTGAATCATGAATATAGGACCAAAAACACGATATTTTTAAATTGACTTCTTTTGCATAATAATACGTAGGCAATACTTGTATCTTTTAAGTTGTGTTATTGTTTTCATCAAAAATACGTGCATATTTACATTAAATTAAAAAATGTCAAAACAAATTTAGATTTTTTTCACACTTGTAGTGCCATCTATTAATTTTATCCAAACCATAGAATGTTTGTTTATATTATTTTTGCTATAACATTAAATTGACTGTACAGTAAGTAGGTAGGTAGGTATAGGTATCTACCGCAATAGCTAATTATCCGCCATGACTATGCGTCCATTGGCCATAAAGTCGTGCCACGATTTATTAATCAATAACATCTGCGTGAGCTTTAATCGCATTACAACTCCCAAAGTGGGTTTAATCGCTTAATATCGACATCAACTTTATTGCTAGACATTCAAATGTTTAAACATTTAAACAGAGCCATTAAACGTTTACCATTTAACTGTTCCGTGTTAGGAATTCTTTACCTTTTCCTTATGCCCATAACTACACTTAGAATGAATATAGTTGAGCCATCGAAACAAGATTTAAAGTTGCTAATATTAACAACAACAAAAATAGCAATCTAATATTTCAACAAAAAACTCAAAATTTTGAAAAAATAAACTAAAAATTTAAAAAATTTAAATATTCGACTTTTGTTGTGAGTATCTTATTCTATTGTCTTTACTATATACAAATATTGATTTAACAGTTGAAAGATAGAAGAAATTCAGTTCAGAAAGCTTCCACTGCTTGCTTCCCTTAATGGTGCACGCATTAAATGCATTCCTGATACGATACGAACGATGATTGTATCTCGTATCGATTAAACGATTCACATTAACGTGCAGATACGAATGCTTGCTATATAGATTCATCGATTGGCCGCTCGGATGCTCACCGGAGCCGTTGCGGTTGGTGCGCGCCTGATAAAACGCGTGTTTACCGAATGTCCGATAAATAATTGGCGTCCCGTGTTCATAAATAAGAATAAAAACTGATCATAATGATCGAGCAGACGTGACTCGCATGCTAATACTGAATAAACAAACAAATCAACAAGAAGTAGCAACCATTCAACTCGTAGATGAAGAGTTTGTTTGTTTGTTTGATGAAAAATGTTGAAAAAACAAAATATGAAAATAATATGATAATATTACCTAGGTAGGTATATATCTGGTGGAACGAGAAAGAGTCCGAAGAAAGATGGTGGCCGTGCGCACGGTTCGGCTTCATTAATTAGATTAGGTATGCGCGCACGAGTCATTAAATTAAATTCGCCCGTAAATAACTCGTGTCGGTTCTCTCGCGCGCCGGGACGCACATCGTTCGAGTCGCGCAAGAGATAGATTCATGAATAAAATCATGTATGAACAAAAACAAACTTAAATGAATGAAAAATTCTTTGAAATTAATTTTGTAGGTTAAATTTTCTTTACTTTTTGTGTAATTTTGGTTGCCTATATCTAAACTACTAAAATCATCAATTTTCTTTATTAAATATTAAATATTAGTGTATTTCTCTTAAAAAGTAAAATTTATTAAACACAAGCGGCAAGGTGTTGTCTCTCATCATATTCGCATAATTTATTTATGAAGCGCCAGCGCCAGTGAAAAATACACACTCCGAATCCGCGCCGCAAATAAAAAAGCACCAACCGCGTCGTAAAATAAAGCCTCACAGAATGGTATACTGATCATCACGATCGTAAATATCCACCCGAGTCATCCCCACATGCAAAACCAACACTCAAGACCTGACTGGTGTGTCTGCGGTCAGAATTAAGCATTCAAAGATACTAATAATGCAATAAAACCAAGACGCAGCGCACAAAACACACGAAACACAATATAAAAATGTAAAACGACAGGAGAAACAAATAAAAATGTTTTCGTGCGCTTCGACGCACAGCATAGTCGAAGAACGAAATATGCAATAAATGTTAAAAATGCCAAATGCTAATTGGGCCATTTCGAATGCGCAGCGCGACATAAAAATACAAACAAAAAGGTAATGAAGGTATGCAACACACCACACACACACATGGATATATAGTCAAAATGCCGGGCATTCTTTCAATAATTTTATGTTTTATGCGCGTCCTAAAATTAAATTATGTTAATGCGAACAGCGACATGTCGACATTTCAAATTGAATGATTTAAATGGTTTTTTTACTTTCGTCTTTTGAATGATATTAAAACTTCATAAAAATAGTTAAGATGTTAGATCTTATCAAATAGCATCTTATCTTTGAATCTACCATGTTAATTAAAATTTACAAATTTGGTTGGAGCCTACACTATTCAATGAATATTAATTTGTAGATGTTTACAAAAAAAATTGTGTAGTCTATTGATAAATATGCTAAAATTGATTTAAAATATTTAAAATGTGTATTAGCAATTTAAAAAAGTGTTTTGGTTTAAAAAATGCAAATTTAAAATGTTTTGCAATATGTGGCGTTGTCATAGGCATATAATCAGACTAATAGAAATAAATATAGGTTATATTTGTTATGATTAGGTTATGTTGAAGTAAAAATTGATTAAAATTGATTTTTTATGCTTTTATTAAACATTAGTCTTCAATTTGCAAAAACATGGTTCAACGACGACAGTTGCAAACCCCATCAATGCATCTACCACCTTTGTAGCCCTTTTGTAGGCAATGACCGGCGCAGGCCGCGTGGTTCAATGATCCAATCGGGGTGGAAACACTCAACAGGTCGCAAGTGACACGACGCATACGAGACAACACTAATTCTCCTAAAATTGCAACATAATTTATATAATTGTGAGAATTTTGGTCTATTTTAAATTTAAATATAAGCTGATTTGTCTTACCTTCATGATCTTGCTCCAATGGGGAAACAAAACTGCAGGCCACAAGAGCGAAGGCAATCAAAACAATGCACAATTTCATTTTGAAGTGTTTGGAGAGTTGTTGTTAACAAATAGAAGATATTTGAGTAACTGATGAATAACCAGATGAAAACGTGCGGTATTTATAGTGAATGCATTTTATTATTTTTTAATGAAATAAAATAAGGATTAGTATTATTTCTATACGGGAATTTCCGGAGTACAGAATCGTTGGGAATTTATAATTACAGACACATTTCATGTGTTGATAAATTAAAGTTATGTTTTACTTCACACATGTAATAAAATGTTGTGTTGTTATGTATGTAATTGCCAAAAATAAACCGAGTTGATTATGCCAGCTATTTATTAATATGCATTAAATTGAGATAAATTCCGAAACTTTATCTAATATGATGCAAAATTCCGCATTATTTATGTCTGAGATGTAAGTAGAATCAACTACAATAACAGAAAGTAAAAATACACAGTCCACCTTTACTCAACTTATTCGCAGCCCTACAACTAATTGCGCATGCGTCATGATTGAATTGTCTTCCGTAAAATAGTGTGCTAAAGATATCGCATGCTGCACGGCGACTGCGAGACTTAACCACTTGGTTTCCTCTCAAAGAAATGTCATCTACAAACAATTTTTAAAAATTTACAAAATAGTTAACACATTAATAGATTGTTGTCAACACATACTGTTGTTATTTTCGTACAAATCTGCCAAACAGCAACCGATTAGAAGTATCACAGTGAAAACAGTAAAATATTTCATTTCTGAATCAACAATTTTGACTTTAACTCAAATGGAATAGCTACATATAGCAAAACTAATAATGAAATACGAAAAAAAATATGTTAGGTAATTATACACTGTTTTGCAATTCATATCGTAACTTATCAAATTATCAAAACTTAGTACTGATATACTTAGTTTTGCATAGGTATCACCTTAAAAGCTACCAAATATCTATTACCTACTTATTCTTATGCTTGTACCTATATATAATATTTGAAGTAAAAACCTTTTTAGAATCGCTGTGATTTCAAAATTAATGAAACGACACTAAAATAACACAAATATATTTGTTTCCTATTCTTCATCTTCATCTCCTATTTGCTGCAAGCCACTTGATTCTGAATATTTTCTGAATATACCTTAATAATATTTTCAAGTATGCCAAAAACTAATGCCGATAGTTTCCGAGATATTCGCAATTGAAATATACCTATAGTCAAAAAATGAAAAAAATGCACTTTTTGAAACTTTCAGTCGCGTTTTCAGACCTTTGACCCTATTAAATTTTATTATTTTAAATTAGCATTTAATAAAGGACGATCCTATCTTCCATAATCTATAATTCCCTTGTTGCTATCTCCTTTAGTTTAGAAGATATTCACTGTCGAAAATCGTGGATTTAAATTATCAACTAGTCTATCTTATGGAGAATAGTCCATAAAATAGTCCCTGCGATTTGTACCTATTTATCTCTTTTAGTTTTCGAGATATTCGCAATTGAAGAAAATGGGCAAAAATTGAAAAAGGTCACTTTTTAGCACTTTTAGTCGCGTTTTTCGACCTTTTACTGTAGGAAATATAATTATTTTTTATTTTTATTATTAACTGATAGAGAATTTTCCAATCTTTCATAATCAACAATTCGTCGGTAGCTATCTCTTTTAGTTTAAGAGATATTAATTATAAAAAAATCATCGAAAAAAGTATCAAGCACTCCCCCTTGGCATTTTTTTCTTAAGATGTAAAATTTTATCTCTCAGATTTCCGCTTTAACTAGCCTATCTTATGGAGAATAATCCATAGAATAGTCCCTGCGATTTGTACCTATGTATCTCTTTTAGTTTTCGAGATATTAGCGATTGAAGAAAATGGGCAAAAATTGAAAAAGGTCACTTTCAGCACTTTTAGTCGTGTTTTTCGATCTTTTACTGTAGGAAATATAATTATTTTATATTATTATCTGATAGAGAATTTTCCAGTCTTTTATAATCAGCAATTTGTAGGTTGCTATCACTTTTTAAGTGTACTTTTTGTATTAAAAATCATCGAAAAAAAGTATTCAGCACCCCCCTTGGAATTTTTTTCTTAAGATGTAAAATTTCATCTCTCAGATTTCACCTTTAACTAGCATATTTTATGGAGAATAGTCCATAGAATAGTCCCTGCGATTAGTATCTATTTATCTAGTTTAGTTTACGAGATATTCGCGATTAAAGAAAATGGGCAAAAATTGAAAAAGGTCACTTTTTTGCACTTTAGTCGCGTTTTCGACCTTTTACTGTAGGAAATATAATTATTTTTTATTTTTATTATTAACTGATAGAGAATTTTCCAATCTTTCATAATCAGCAATTCGTTGGTTGCTATCGCTTTTTGTTTAAGAGATAGTAATTATCAAAAATCGTCGAAAAAAAGTATAAAGCACCCCCCCTTAGCAATTTTCTCTTAAGAATTAAAATTTCATCTCTCAGATTTCCCATTTAACTATCTAATTTTATAGAGAATAGTCCGTAGGATAAGACGCTGCGATTCGAGCCTTTCTATCTCTTTTAGTTTACAAAATATTCGCTGCGTCAATTTTATACCTATGTGATAGGTTATCATCTGAGAACAAATATCCGCAAAGAACTTTCTGTAAACAAATAAAATCTGTTTTATATTTATTACACTTGAACTCTCAATATAATATTTGATTACCACTTTATCAAATAATAAGTGATACTGGGATTTCCTGACCTAAGATTAGTTAACTATAAATATAAGTTGCAAACCATGTAATTCCCCAGTTATTATCCAAATTATACCAAGTTAACAACAAAATAATAAAATGATGAATAAGTGTATTCTTTTTATGTTTCTTGTTATTGTGGCGAGCGCTTTAGCTGCACCACCAGCCGAAAGGGAAGAAAATGGTAAGCAGAAAACTATTTACGCAAAATAAATATTTATTCATTTTTTTATTTAATGTTTTAATACTAATAGGACAATTGCTATTATCTCGAGTGCGTCGTTTGACCTGCGACGCGCTTAGTTTCGAAACAGCATACTTTTCATTTAAACACTCCGCGTGTGCTGTAAAGTGTATCGCACAGGGACATTGCGGAGGAACATGCATCGATGGTCATTGCAAATGTTACGATAATGGCGATAAATAATTCTCCAATTTGTCAGTTAGCATTCCCACGAATCTAGTATATCTTTATTCAAATATAACAATCACTCGCTATTATAACCGTGCTTTCTTCTATATTCAATGAAATTTTCATCAAATTCACGTTCCTTTTGACGAATTCTTTCGCCACTTCCAGTCTCTGACTCCGATCAAATATTTATGCATCGCAACAATGCGTTCCTCTGCTCCGTACGTGTAATTACGCACAAACAATACTCGTGGAATAATAATAGAGTCACCCCTAGTCGAACGTGAAATCAACGTTGAACGACGTCAACCCCAAAAGACGTGCCCCGACGTTGATGGAGATATGATGAAATATTTAGTATTTACGCTTGTTCAAACGAACTTGCAGTGCATTGCAAGTACTAAATAGTGCACTACACAGCGAGTGAGATGTAAAGGTATGTTGGGTTTGATACTTGCACAGCGAGAGGCTGCACGCCGGGTTTGGTACAAAGGCACCGGAAGTCACACGTGCGGATTGTGCGTAATTATTGTTATTACATGACTTTGAGACGAGCGACGAGACGAAACAAGAACACGGAGTTGGAGTATGTCGAGTGGTGAAAGTCAAGAGTATGTGAGGGGACAAGTGAAAGACGTCAACCGTCAAAAAGGGTAGATAACATTGATATGTATTTATAAAAGCTACTTAGCAAAAAACGCAAAAAAATACATTTTTTAATTCAACACTTTTTAACTCTCAATTTGAAAGTGTTAGGTTCATCCAAATTTAAAAATTTAAACAGTATCTAAAAGTTGACTTAAGTGACTATGATTTAATTAAAAAATATTTAATAAATTTGTTAAAACAACAAAATGACAGCGCTTTAAATAAAAAAAATAGTTAAAAAGTAACTGTTACATAAATAATTGCCAATAAAATTAACAATTAATAATATTTTACCTTGAAACTTAGCCACGAGATAACAACAATAATGTATAATACATGTGTAAAATTTTAGTTTTGTAAAAATAATATAAACCGAGATATTATTAAAAAATAGTATCAAATACTCTGCAAATTGACCCGCGTAAAATATGTAATGTCTATTTAAAATATCAATAAAAGTATTATAGATAAACAATTTCTGTTTACTGCAAATTTACGAGAAATTCCTTGGGTTTTATTTCTGTTACTTTCAGCTAAATATCCCTAAAACTGTAGCTGTTATACATTAAAATATTTGACTAAATATTTATTCACCTGACTATTTCCTACTTCTGTGTTTCATTTCCTTTGCCCATTCTTCAAATCTTTACTTTCAAGTTCATAATAAGTCTATTACACAATACCAAAGCCCCCTTGAACAGAACATTTCCCTCTTTATTAGTTCTTGGTTGATTCCACGCCGCTTTTGTACTTTTTTGTCCTTACTGCTCCCTTTTTTCACCTCCGCCGTGTACAACTCCATTGTGCTTGTGTTCATAACGTCGTACACTTTTCAGCACCTTTGTGTCACTCTCCACAGCATACAAAAAAATCAAATAAAATTCCAATGCGTGTATGTGTATGATTATTCTGATTACGAGACGAAGAAAAAAAAACGTTCCAAGTGCAGCGACTTTCGCAGCGTGACACCTTTCTTAGCATTTTTATTCTTTGCATTCTTCAAACTTTATTCAGTTTATTCAGTATACAAAACTCTTCAGGCCAGTTACTCGCGAACGAATTAATAACAACAACGCGCGGCATGAGGCGATTCTTATTTAGATGATCGCGTATTGTAAATGTGTGCAAATTTCACTTCATAAATGCAAATGTAAAGTCTACCAGCAGCCAACATATTGTGACTAGTTCAAGAAGTTCTACTTAATTCAGTCTGTTGCATTTCAATGTCAACTGTTAAATGTTCACAGAATAAAAACTAAAAGAGTTTAAGTGTCAAAGATTATAAAATGTAAAAAATTGCTGATTTGTTATTTTGGTTGCATATTTTAAAATAATTTATATGAAAATATCACTTTTCAACCTACTAAAATACTAAACTAAAACATCAACTTTTAAGCTTAAATTCGCGTTTTAAAGCAAAAAATCAAACAAAATTAACACAACTTTCAATAAATAACGCAGTCGTCTTATATTTTTTACAGAATAATCTCATATAAGCACTAAATATAAAGAAAAACCATTAGAATTTTACGTTTTTGAAGCAAAACACCAACTTTTATGATTAAATCTGCGTTTTAAAACAATTAAGCACTACTTTAAATACAATATCTTCAATTTTTACTGAAGAATTAAAAGAGTTGAAGTGTCAAACAATATAAAATACAAAAAATGGCTGACACATGTTCTTTTGGTTGCATACATTAAAATAATTCATATCTATATATATAAAATTTGCGTGTCACAGTGTTTGTTTCCATACTCCTCCGAAACGGCTTTACCGATTTTTACCAAATTTTATATGCGTATTCAGTAGGTCTGAGAATCGGCTAACATCTATTTTTCATACCCCTAAGTGGTAAGGGTTGTTCACCCTTAACTTTTTTTTAATATTTGGACGAATTTTTTTGTTTTTATTTTTTATGATGTGGCATTAAAAAATACATACAACCCTAAATTTTTAGTTTTTTATCATCAATCCCTATTTCTTTTTAACCATTTTAGTAATTTAATCATTT